GCTATGGTCTAGCTATGATTGTTGTGGAGTGTTTCGGATGTACGTCTCTGTTGTATGTCTGTTGTCCGGGGGTTGTGATCAGGAGTGTGGTTCAGTCAGTTCTGGCATTTATTGTGGCTGTGCGCTATCTTTCTGTGGCCTCTATTATCGAGGTCCTCGACCTGTCGGCGGAGGTCTAGAAGAATATTTCCTTGCCTCCCAGTCGCCAGCTCTGCTGCTAGCCGGTATTGGGCGTTCTGTAGACGGTCTACTTCCAGGTCGTCTACGCATTGCTCCAGCGCTGTGAGGTCTCTGCGGACAGCCGTGATTTCCTCCCTGATAACTGCTCTCAGTTCCGCGACCATTTTCACCTTGTCCTTGCGGGTGAGCATGTTTGCTGTAATTTTTGCTATATCCGCTGATATTTGGGCTAGCGTGGAGGTCGCTGGGGAGGTCTGGCTCGAGTGTGCCACGATGGAGCTTGGTGAGGATGGCGTTGTCGTGGCTGCGTCATCGGTGCCACAAAGGCCTTGCGGTGTTGTGAGGAATTCGTCCATCGGGCTGGGATTTTGTCTAGCTGGGGTCGCACCGGAGGTACCAGCTGTACCCATTCGCTTAGATTTCCCCGTTTGTAGGTTAATTTATCGCTATGTATCGGGTTTAGCAGGATGGGGCCTAGGAGCTCAGGTCGAGTACCTCTCACTCCATCGGCAGTCAGGCCACGCCCCTGTCCTTCATTTTTAAAGGACTTGTTCTAAGTTATCCTATTAAAATTAACTATTAGTTAATAGTAACCAATAGCAAACTGTGGGCGTGTCAAATAGTAAAATGCGTGTCTTCCCTAAAGACTATCATCTAGATTTTGGTCAGTAGGGGGCACAATTACATCACTGTAAATTCTAGTCAGGGGTCCATTTACCTTTTTGTATAATGGGTTAACTGAATTTTGTGATAGGTTTTATGTCATTTTCGTTATCTCTTATGGCTACTATACATCACACAAGCTGTCATCTTCAAAGCATTTTCCCAGTCTGAGTGTTTACATTTAGCTTTCTGACATGTCTTAAACTCTTCTTCACTTCTCCTTACAATGGAACAAGTAATATTCCGTAATTTGTATTTTTTTATAGAAAGTAAAATTAATTGCTTAGTGTTATCTGTCATTTGGTGTCTGGTTTTCTTGTGTGAAACTGTAGTTAGGATTACACAAATATGTCTATTACACATATTCCACTGATGTTAGTAATAATATGACATTTCTTCATTGATATTATAACCATGAATATTCTATATTATTAACATAGTTCTAATTATATATGATTAATATAATAATAGTAAATTATAAGTGGATATTGTGTGTGCGTGTATGTAAATATATATATTTATACATTTGTCTCTGGGTTTGTGCTTTCAACCCCCCCCACCCCCCCAATGCTACAGCCATCATGCCTTATCTCTACTAAATATTTGCATAAGTGGAACTCCTTAGCTCAGAACTAAATAAATAGAGTTACAGAAAGAGTAAAAAATGTGTCTGTCTTGGCATTCTGTTACAAAATTGAGTCACCTCTGAGGGTGACTTACAGTTTACACTTTTAATTCCTGTCTTTACACAAAATGTCTGCCAATACAAATATACTGACAGTATGAGTGTGAGTATGCGTATGAGTGTGTGTATGTGTATGTATTAGGGATGCACCAAAATGAAAATTCTGGTCCAAAACCGAAAATTCAGGATGCCCTTGGCTGAAAACTGAAACCAAAAATGACTTTTTCCCCAAATGATTTTTTTTTTTTTTTTTTTTTTTTTTGTGCATGGGTTTACAGCAGTGCTTGTATAGCCACAACAGCTTCCACAAGCTCATTATTATTTGAACATAGGTAAGTTATGCGTTAAAACGTGCACATTTTTACATTTAATGAGTTGTATGAACAAGCTAAGTTAAGTTAAGTAATCTCCTATATGAGATTTGCATCTTATAGATAGATTGTATGTGTTAGACAAGTATGCCTAGTTTGATTGGGTGTAGGTTAGCGTTTTGTCTGAGATGGTCTAGGCGCATGAGGAGGAGATTTTGCTTTTCATCATCTTAAGTTAGGTCAGGCTGAAGAAGCCCAAATGATTTTTAAAAAGTTTTTTTTCCCTATAATTTTACTAATTT